GGCGCCTCTGCGACGTAGGTTATCTTTCTAGAGTTAAATATTTTGTGCAAAAGGAAACAGACCGATTAATTATATCCTATCCTATTATCATTATCATAATTGTTTTGGCAGCTGTGACGTCTAGTGGTGCAGTGGCTAATCATTGAGTTTTGGCGCAGAGGCCCGCAGATCCGAATCTTACACGGAGCAAGTATTTGTGTGACCTGTAATAATTTTTAAATGTGTCATTGAAAATGTCGTTTACGCTAGACGTGTAATAATATCCAGACCGGCGATAGGAAGTAACGTTAAAGGTATGAGATGTCTGCGATCTCTGCGGACATAAATCGTGCGTCACAAAGCGTGATGATTAAGACAAATTCACCGTATAACGAGAGAGGCTCGCATGCAAGTGACTTTAATAAGCTGCCACAGAGTTGAGGAAACCATCATTCACATTTTATACAACCAAATTTTATCGGTATTGGTATCGGTATAAAAAATGTTATATTTCAATGAGATTTTAAACCAACTTTTACATAAAATACAATATTTATAAAAATAGGGGAAAATATTTATTTTATAAATAAATGTTTCTAATACCCGCGGTATACTGCCGCAAACTCCTAACTTAGCCTTTAGATGACAAACAAACCAGCTCTCTTGTTTGCAGTGGCATCGACCAGTCGCGGATACAGTTCATTTAGAGTCTTCACCGCACGTGGAATAGTAAATACAGTTATTACCAACGTTTGCAAAAAGGTTAAGCAAATTTAAACTTTGCAGACAATGATTATAATAATAATCATCATCATCATCATTACAGCCCTTCACAAGTCCACTGCTGAACATAGGCCTCCCCCAAAGAATGCCACAAAGCACGGTCCTGAGCCACCTGCATCCATCGACTTCCTGCACATCTTACCATGTCGTCACTCCATCTAGTGGGGGGACGCCCTACACTTCGCCTGCCGGTACGAGTCTGCCACTCGAGAACCTTTCTTCCCCATCGGTTGTCGGTTCTTCGAGCTATATGGCCGGCCCATTGCCACTTCAGCTTACTAATCCGTTGGGCTATGTCGGTCACTCTGGTTCTACTGCGGATATCCTCATTTCTGAGTTTATCACGCAGAGAAACTCCGAGCATAGCCCTCTCCATAGCTCGCTGAGCGACCTTGAGCTTCCTTATCCGGCCAGCAGTGAAGGACCACGTCTCAGTTCCGTATGTCATCACTGGCAACACGCACTGGGTGTACAGTCTCGTTTTCAAGTTTTGAGGTATACCTGACGAGAAGATGTGCCGTAATTTCCCGAACGCTGCCCAACCGAGTTGAATCCGTCGATTGACCTCTCGGTCGAAGTTGGACTTACCTAGTCGGACTATTTGTCCCAGGTAAACATACTCGTCAACAACTTCGAGCTTAGTGTTCCCAACAACTACCGGCATAGGTGTGACATGGACATTAAACATGATCTTTGTTTTGTCCATGTTCATCTTAAGACCTATCCGTTGGGAAACACTATTGAGGTCATTGAGCATAGTGCTTAGGTCCTCCAGCGATTCTGCCATAAGGACTATATCGTCGGCAAATCGAAGGTGAGTGATGTACTCGCCATTGATGTAGATACCGTATCCTTTCCAGTCCAGAAGCTTGAAAACGTCTTCCAACGCAGCGGTGAAGAGTTTCGGGGATATGACGTCACCCTGTCTTACACCTCTCTGCAATTGGATAGGTTTCGTACTCTGGTTCTGTACTCGGATAGCCATCGTAGCCCTACTGTACAAGCACTTCAACATTTCGATATACCGACAGTCAACTTGGCATCGCTGAAGGGACTGCAGCACTGCCCAAATTTCGACGGAATCAAAGGCTTTCTCATAGTCCACATACGCCAGACATAGTGGCAAATTGTACTCCTCGGACTTCTGTACAATTTTCCGAAGGGTATGTATGTGGTCTATGGTGCTAAAGCCTTTTCGGAAACCGGCTTGTTCGGGAGGCTGGAAGTCGTCAAGTCTGCGCGCGAGACGATTCGTAATGACTCTCGAAAACAGCACGTAGACGCGGCTCAGAAGGGAAATCGGTCTGTAGTTCTTCAAGAGAGCGTTGTCGCCTTTCTTGAAGAACAAGACCACCGCACTTCTGCCTCCGGTGTAATGCCACCATAGAGGACGGAATTAAAGAGCCTCTGAAGGACTTCAAGTACCGGTTTTCCACCCGCTTACAGAAGCTCCGCTGTAATTCCATCCTGGCCTGGGGCCTTGCCGTTTTTAAGGTGCTGGAGAGCCATTCTAATTTCGCTCAGACTGACGTCCGGGATATCATCGGAATAATGTCGGATAAGACTCGCTCTTGGATCGTTACTCACACTTGCGTGTGGCTCCAACGATGACGTGTACTGCTGCCCATAGAACCTCTCAATCTCACTCAAAATCTCAAGTGCCCCGGAAACGATGCTGCCACATTCGGTCTTCAGCTTTGACAGTTGGCTCTTTCTGGCAGACAGATCTCTGGCAAAGACTTTGGAGCCTTGGTTCCGCTCGATCGCTTCTTCAATACGAGCTGTAATAAAGTTGCGTACGTTCCGCCGCATGCATTTGGAGATCTGTCTGTTCAGTTGCCTGTATGCTGTCAAATCTGTTGAAGAATGTAGCTTCATCTCCCGTCTAACAGCCATGAGATTAAGAGTGTGATCGGAGAGTTTTTGTGTTCTTCTGCGGCGGGTCTTGCAGAACTTAGCTCCGACCGCATGGACAGTTTCCACGAGCTTGTCATTCAAATCGTCCACTTCATTGCAGTCTTCTAGGCACTGAAAACGGTTTTGCAACTCGAGCTGAAAGGTTTCGGGACTCTGGATTAGAGCACGAGGGGGACGGAGCGTTGACTTCATTAGACGAGACCTCTCCAACTTAACGTTTAGGTTCAGTGTGCCTCTAACCATTCGGTGATCGCTGCCGGTTTTCACCCTCGCGATCACTGAGACATCACTGAACAGTTGTCGTCTGGTCGTCATAATGAAGTCAATCTCATTTTTTGTCGAACCGTCGGGGCTCGACCAGGTCCACTTCCTGTGGGGCCGCTTCTGGAAGAAAGAGTTCATCATAAAGAGTCCCTCTTTCTCCATGAAGTCGGCCAACTGCTGGCCCCTTGGGTTCCGTTGCCCTATTCCAAATTTCCCCACTTTTAGCTCACCGTTCTCTCTTGTGCCTAGTTTTGCATTGAAGTCTCCCATTAACACCGTATATTGGGTTTTGGAGGAATGCATGGCTCTAGAGATATCCTCATACATTTCCTCCACCTCCTGATCGGGGTGTGCCGAGGTTGGTGCGTAAACCTGTATGACCTTCAGCGAATACCGTTTGGTGATTCTGAGTATAAGGTACGCAACCCTCGTCGACACACTCTCAATCTTTACAACGTTGTTAACGAGAGACTTGTGGACGATAAATCCGACACCTCCTTGGGACAGATGGTCGCCCTCCCGGTAATAGAGCAAGTTGCCGGATTCGAGGATTACCGTGTCCTCCCCCTCTCTTCGGACTTCGGATAATCCTATAATATGCCAGCGTAACTTGTCTATCTCTTCTTCCAGCTCCACAATCTTCTCGTCAGTCCTCAGGGTGCGTGCGTTGTATGTTGCCAGGTCGAGTCGTTGTAGGTGGCAACCGAACCTCCACCGGAGATTCTTAGCACCCCCTGCCCCGCCGTTACCATGGTCGCCACCGTAGCCAGGAATAGCGGGGCCGCCGGGGACTGGGGGCCGTCTCTTCGTAACTTTCATTATGGGGGGTATATTGCCATAGTTGCCACGCTTGGCGAGCGGGTTGGCAACCGCAGTTTTTTATTGTATTTTTGCCGTTACCAGGAAGATGCTGTTGCCCATCTCCTGCCTGTTTCCCTTTGTCGCCTTTTACGACACCCACGGGAAGATATGGGGTAGTGGATATTCACAACCGCCACTACACGGCATATAATAATAATAAATCATAATAATTTATTTGGGTAGAATGTAGGTAGATATTACAAAAGTATTATTAAAGCATAAAAGTTCCGATACATTCTGCCTTATCAAGGCGTGGAAATTTTGACTAAATAGTTATAAGTTGCAATACATTTTCTTTACAATAATTATTGATGAATTTTAGTTTACTAATATAAATATGTCATAATACGAGTAGTACTAATAAAAATGTCCAATTAATAATAAAATTAATGTCAATAGAATAATTACGAAGTACAATGTCACACAATCGTTTACAAAAATGTCAAAATATAAATGTTCACATGTAAAAACAGTAAAATCAACCAACCAATAATTATTTTATTGAAGTCTTATTTTATTTACTCACAGTAAAAAAATTCAAGCAATTTACAGATATAAAATATTGTAATGAGGCGGGAGGACAGTCCGGACGGCGAGTAATAATAGACGGAGATACGAAAACTCGATTTTATTGTACGACACAATATTACAATAATATTAAATGTACTTCGCTCTTACAGACAGTTTTCAACCTTAAGTTCCACGAGGGAAGCAAAAGGCTTACTACCTCTGTAGGCGCGTTGTTTCTTAACGTTCAAATATACTGTCCCACCAGGTGGAAGCAGCTATTTTGCAGTCTAGGAATTCCTAGTGAAAATTATATAAACTAAAGCAGGCTTCGGACCCTATATAGCAAATCGGAGTATATCTTGTTGGCGCGATTTACCTACGTACAGCGCCATCTAGTAGGGTTTGTGGGAGTTAATAATGTAATGTTACAGTCTTCCCCTCTGCCTACGCAGGGGTCCCGACAAGTAAGGCAGGAATTAATTGGATTTCTTCTTCGGTCGACCTCTTTTCCCGAGTACGTTTACAGGTTGTTGTATTTCATCATTGCTTCCGGTATGATACTGTGGTAGCGCAGATGCATGATAAATCCCAGCTGGTACTTTGGTATCACAATGCGCAACTTCAAATGAACTTGGCCCATGCCTACGCGTGATGGCATAAGGTCCGTTTCGCCGGGGAGCAAGCATTTAGCTAAATCCATGACTAGCCTTGCATAGGGTATGCGAGTCCACCAGTACTAGACTTCCAGGCTGATAGTTTGGAATTTCTCGCCTTTTTTGATCCACATACTCTTTTCTCTGTTCCTCTTTCATTTCCTGAATTTCATTTGTTCTTTCGATTGTTTCAGACATCATTAACAGTCTCGGTGTTATGTCTGGAATAAAGGTTTCGTTCTTAATTACTTTACGTATGTCGTGTATCACGTCATCTGGAGTTCGTAGCTCACGCCCGAATGTCAAGTAAGCTGGAGTAAACCCTGTAGTACTTGAACGAGCAGTATTCATAGCAAAACGAATGCTAGGTAACTTATCGGACCATAGAGTGTGGTCACCTTCGACTAAAATCGCAAGCTGTGTTTTAAGATCACGATTTCGTCTTTCTACTGTGTTAGTTTCAGGATGATATACGGGTGTCAATTCATGTTGTATGTTCAGGCAAAATGTTAGCTGCTGTACCATATTGCTGACAAACTGTGAACCGTTATCGCTAATGAATCGACGTGATGTACCATATCTCAGTATTATCTCATTAAGCAGTATTCTTGCACATTCTTCCGCCGTTGCTTGCTCTAAAGCAAACAATTCTAGCCAACGTGTAGTCACATCTTCTACAATGAAAATCCAACTATGATTGTTTGGTGTACGGGGTAATGGCCCAAAAAGGTCAAATGCAACTACTTCAAACCGTTGATTGCTTATTGTGGTTTGTAAGAGACCTGCTGACTTCTGATTAGAAGGCTTATATCGTTGACAATCCAAGGATCTACGAACATAAGCCTCAATCTGTCCCCTCATTCCTTTCCAAAAATAACGCTGCGTAATACGTTCGATTGTCTTCATCGGACCATTGTGTCCAGCTATGGCTTCATCGTGATATGTTTGTATGACTTTAAGCTGTTCGTGTTTTGGTACAACTAACTGGGCTTCTTCGGTATTATTCTCGGTTCCGTATCGATATCCCTTGATAATTGATAATCCCTTGATTCATGACGTATCCTTTTCGGCTCCAATTTCTAGCTTTTTCCTCATCTGTTCCTTCTAAACATTCCACTGTCTTGGCTATTTGTTCATCCTTTAACTGCTCAGCTCTTATATCTTCGGGTCGTTTACGTGGCATATCAATAACAACAGAGCAAACGCCACAATCTACTTCGTTTTCAGGTTCACAATTTGGTGGGGACATGCAATCGGCAACTACATTTGTACGACCAGTGATATATTTTATCGTTAAGTCAAAAGGTTGAATTTGTAGAACCCATCGTGCCAAGCGTCCTGTAGGGGACTTAAGGGACATAAGCCACTTAAGAGCTTGACGGTCAGTCAAGACTGTTACTTTTGCTCCTTCTATATAGCCTCTAAATTTGTCTAGAGCCCACACCACAGCAAGAGCCTCTCGTTCCGTTGTTGAGTAGTTGCCCTCAGCCTTCGTTAGGAGCCGACTGGCATACTCGACAGGATGTTCTTTTTCGCCCTGCCCCTGCACTAATACTGCACCGATAGCATAACTGCTAGCATCAGTTTTGAGGATGTACGGTTTTGTTTCATCTGCTTGTACAAGTACAGGTGAAGTTGTCAATAGCCTACACAATTCTCCAAAACCCCTTCTTTGTTCGTCTTCCCATTTCCACTCAACATTCATTTTCGTTAAACGTGTTAGTGGCTCAGCAATCTTAGCAAAATTGGGTATGAAGTGCCTGTACCAGGAGCACATTTGGATAAAAGATAACAAATGCTTGAGATTTCGCGGAGGTGGCATCTTCAATATAGAATTAATCTTATCAGGATTGACTTCTAATCCATTAGGGGTAATATAGGTAAAAATTTAGGTACTCTTCGAATGTTGCAGACATCACGATCAAATCATCTAAGTAGATCAACATTTTAATGTGGCTCAGAGTTATCCGAAACCTGCCCATAATTCTTTGAAAGGTTGGTGGAGCGTTACGCAGTCCAAAGGGCATTCTTTTGAATTTATATATCCCAAACGGTGTAACAAATGCTGTTTTATTCTGATCAGCTTCCTTGACCCTGATTTGCCAGCATCCAGCTCGAAGGTCTATGGTACTCATGTAAGGTGTAGGCTTAGCATCGTGTAACAAATCATCAATCCTGGGTAGCGGATAAGTGTCTGGAACTGTTATGGCATTAAGTTGCCGATAATCTATGCATACTCTTATGCCTCCTTCCTTTTTGGGTACCATAACAACGGGTGCTGCGCAAGGTGAAGTACAAGGTTCGATAATACCTTCATCGAGCATTTTAGCAATCTCTTTTTGCAAAATATCCTTTTTTAGAGGTGAGAGCCGATATGGGGAGACAGAAATTGGTTTATGGTCACCAGTGTCAATTGAGTGCTCAAAACCATTTACGGGTTGCCCGTTTGTTGTAAACACTGATGCATTGTGAATGAGTAGGTCATCTAGCATGGATGCATCCACTAAGGAGATTCCTGTATCTGGAAAAAGATCTGATTCAAAACCATTTTGATCGTACTCCATCAGACTAATTTGGGCATCTGCGTACAGTGAATCCATTACAGGCGAGTAACCATCAAACAGTTGAGTACACTGTTTCTTTGGAGGCGGAGAAGAGATGTCAATAGGCCTCAGTTTATAAGGTCTCATAAATCCTACCTCAGTTGCACTACTCTCTGGCAAATTAGTCAATGAATCTATGTCCACTCTGACTGGTGAAAGCTTAATGTCCTTCTCGAAACTGACGAAACTCTCTCCATAAAGTTCATATTCTTGGTGAGGGTCGTCCACGAAAGAGTAAGTAGCTTGAGGCAAATTTAAAACCAACAGGGAGTATTGTATGAATCCTACACCAAGAAGAGTTCGGACATTGCGTGATTCGTCCAAGACTAGCATTGTTGTCGGTACGGTACGGCCATTAAATATAATAGGCACAGTTGCTACCAGTACTGCTTGGTTCCTTTTTATTCCATCTGCTAAAGTTATGTTGACAAAACCCTCTATAAACCGATACCCTTCCTTTTTGAGCTTACAGTATAGGTCATACGAAGCCACGCTGGATTTCGCACAAGAATCTATGTAGGCCGCGGTTGACATACCTTCCACCTCAATAAAAACAACAGGCCGGTCTCTGGCATTGATTGAAGCATCAACGGCACTAACAGCGGTATGCTCTTTAGGTGGTGACTGGTTCTTTTTCTTGTGGCACGTAGGGCAATTAGTGCGAACAACACCAGGGGCTCCACATGCATAACAACTGAAGTTTGGTGAACTTGGTGACGGAGCTTGTGAATTTGCCTCCTTGGAGAAACCCATCTTTGAAAGATCAGCTGTGGGAGCAGTGACCTTTGAAGAGTGCAATATCCTTTTCCTGCAGTTTTCAACTACGTGCCCCATATTTTTGCAGTAATTGCATTTCTTTTTTTTGTGCGTGTATATGGCTTCTTGGTTGTTAGTTGTTCCAGATACTTCTTTTTCATTTAGTAGATGTTCGACAGTACGAGCATTTTTTAGTAAGTCATCAAAATTCTTAATATTCGAACGCGGTATCTTATCTCTGATGTCTATCCTAAGCAAACCATAGATAATATCTAGTTGCTGCTGTTCCGGGTGTGCGGGATCTGGGAGTTGTGAGAAAAGAAGGCGCTTACTACGCACAAATTCTTCAGTGGTAACACCAAAATTCTGTTTTTCTTGAGTAATTTCTAAATAGATAAGGTAAGATTCTTTAACAGGTGCGAAATTTTCGCGCAGACGTGCTTCGAAACTTAACCAGGTAGTAATTTGCTTGCTTACTCCCTGCCACCATATCCCTGCTTCCTCCTTGAGCAATAGAGGAAGTTCTTCTAAGGCTGTTTTGTCATCAATACCTTCCTTCCACCTGAAAATATTCACCGCGGTCAAGAAGGCCTCTACAACCACTTTAGACTTGTGACCATTGTAGGTATAGCTGCATGTGACGAATGAGCTGCGCGACGTTGAAGGCGGTGACAGACGGGAAAGCAGTCATTCAAATTGCTCATCCGTTAGTTTAATCGCTTTCTTATCCGTTATCCTGGTGATATGGGTCTTCCTTCCAAATTTTGTCGTGTAGCTGTGTCGCTATAATTATAATCGTCCACAAGATCGTAATCGCTCTCCTCACTCATCAAACGCCGTGCCGGGGAGTTCTCTGCAGAGCTGTCGTTGTTCGTCTTGCCTTCCAGTTGGGCGTCAATTGTAATGAGGCGGGAGGACAGTCCGGACGGCGAGTAATAATAGACGGAGATACGAAAACTCGTTTTTATTGTACGACACAATATTACAATAATATTAACTGTACTTCGTTCCTACAGACAGTTTTCAACCTTAAGTTCCACGAGGGAAGCAAAAGGTTTACCACCTCTGTAGGCGCGTTGTTCCTTAACGTTCAAATATACTGTCCCACCAGGTGGAAGCAGCTATTTTGCAGTCTAGGAATTCCTAGTGAAAATTATATAAACTAAATTAGGCTTCGGACCCTATATAGCAAATCGGAGTATATCTTGTTGGCGCGATTTACCTACGTACAGCGCCAACTAGTTGGGTTTGTGGGAGTTAATAATGTAATGTTACAATATATAATTTGATTTGATTTTTATGAAGATACTCATTAACGGTATAAAAACAATTAAGTAAGAGCCATTCATGAAGTTTGTTTTTTAACCTTGTCATTGGGAAATTTTTAAACTCGTCGGGTAAAGAAAAAACGAAAAGAATTTTAATCGCCATTATGTACGATTTTTTTGAAAGAATGTCAATCTACATTTTGGAAGGTATATTCTGTTATTAGATTTTTCTCTTAAACTTCTATCTCTTAAAAAAATATTACTTGGGAAGTATTCAGCGAATTGCTTGACAAAAATCGCGGTTTGTTTTATATACATACATGTGCGAGTGGTAACTCTTTCATTTCTTTAAATAATGGCTTGCACGATGCCATTGAATGTGCTACACGGATTGCTCGAATGCATTTTTTTTTGGATTCTAAATACGCGTTGTATTTCAGAACAGTAGCCCCATATCAGAAGTCCGTACTGCAATATCGATGAGACATAGCCATGATAGGCGTTTAACGCTGCTTTGGCAGATCTCTCGAAGTCGGCGAGGCGCAAATACAAATCTGTTTAATTTGTCACATATCGATTGAATATGAATTTTCCAATTACAATTATTGTCAATAGTAATACCAAGAAACTTATAATAATTAACTTCTTGTAGCACTTTTCCATTATAATTTATATTTTAATTAGTTTGCTTACTTTTAGCTGTGTGAAAATGCATTATTTTAGTTTTATTTATATTTATAGTCATGTTGTGAGAATTCAACCAATCAATTATATATTTAAATGTACTATTGATATCAAATTCCAAAAGCCTTTTGTTCGTACATTTAAGAATTATCGTTGAGTCATCAGCGAAAATGGATAAAAAAGATTGTTCCAATGAATACTACCGAATCCTTAAAAATTTAGTCACAGCAACCCGTAAACGCGAACGAAAAGCTTACTTTAACCATTGTATAAACAACAACTTAAAAGATCCGAAGTCGCTGTGGCGTAATATAAAAAATGCTGCACAAATTAAAACTACTCATTTAAATACAATTCCACACCGTCTCAATGACCCGAATATTATTAATGACTATTTTCTAGACTTGCCGCCATGTGACAAACCAGAACTCAAACAAGGTTATAAAGTATGTAACGGATGCTCACACGATACCCTATTCGACCTAAACCCGACAAATAAAATAGAAATCAGTAAGATTATCAATAAAATAAAAACAAAAGCCGCAGGGCA